CCCCCCCCCCCCCCCCCCCCAGGAGCTCCTCTTTGCACTCAGTCTGGGTTATGTCAATGTAAGAGACATTCAAACCTACAGAGATTTTTTGTGAGTTTGAGCCCAACTGACAATTGCTGGGAGGCAAAAATCTCAATGTATTGAGAAAATTATCCAGAGCAGTGGTTCTCAACCTGTGGGTCGCGACCCCTTTTGGGGGTCAAACGACCCTTTCACAGGGGTTGCCTAAGACCATCGGAAAACACATATATAATTACATATTGTTTTTGTGATTAATCACTATGCTTTAAGTATGTTCAATTTGTAACAATGAAATTGGGGTCACCCCAACATGAGGAACTGTAGTAAAGGGCCGCGGCATTAGGAAGGTTGAGAACCACTGATCCAGAGAATGGCAGTTTTGCACCTTAATTTATATATTACAATCAAAAGAGAAGACTCAAGTGGGTTACTGGAAATCCATTGGTGGCAGGTTAGGGAGGTGGGAGAAGGCAAAGCAAGGAAAGACCTCTGGGATTGGATAGAAAGTAAAATGATAGCCCTGACTGTTGTTGCTGAGTTGGTTGGAGTTTCATCCCGTGCACCAGAAGGGTGGTGAGTTTGATTCTGGTCAGGGCACACACCTAGGCTGCGGGTTTGATCCCCAGTCAGGGTGCATGCGGAGGCAACCCATCCATCTCATATTGATGTTTCTCTCTCTCTCTCTCCCCCCACCCCTTCTTCTTAAAAAAACAACAACAGTAAAATGATAGACACATTTCTTTTACATAGGTCTGTACAGGACAGTTAATAGTCAATAATTAGTAACAACGGGGGATTTGTGGTCTCCACTCTGGTGCAGTATCTATGCTTTTGTTGCCTCACATGAGGCCAGCATTTGTACAGCACTCTGGTTTACAAAATGCTTACAGATGCATCACTACACCGACCCTCTGGTTCTCCATTATTTCAAAATGGAGAGACTTGAACTCAGGATGATTAAGGGATTTACTTAAGGTTCATGACAATAACTGGAAGCTAGAGGTCAAACCCAAACGTAATAATGTTAAACCCCATGTCATTTTATGCTGCCCCTTTGTTTAAAAGTTGTCACAAGAAGAATCATGTTTATATTTGCTATTATGTGGCTTTAACATATGTGAGTTTGATAAAATCTTTCATCAGTTGAAACAAAGGATGATTTATCATCATCATCACTCTCAAACTGCCAAAAAACAAAACAGAAAAAACCCCCAAAACAAAACAAAAACCTGCCTACTCAGAACTCCCTTCAGTTCCCAGAAAACAGTTAAAACATTCTTTAGTGTATTGTAGAAACTTTATTCCATATTAACATGCTGTCCAATTTTACTTTCCCCAGACCCCAGAATTATGGTTCATTATGTGCTCAATTCAACCACCATTCCTTTTTCACGGACCATTTTAATTCCTCTGAATAAGTGAGTGAGGCGTAGAATTCCCGTGCTTTTCATTTTATTATTGTATGTCTTCATAAGCCTCTCTGATTGACTCCTTGATCTGGCTACTTAAAAAGATTTTTATTTATTTATTTCCGAGAGAGGAAAGGAGAGGGAGAGAGGGATAGGAACATCAATGATGAGAGAGAATCACTGATTGGCTGCCTCTTGTATGCCCCCTACTGAGGATGAAACCCATAACCCAGCATGTGTCCTGATCTCCTGGCTCATGGGTCAGTGTGCAACCACTGAGCCACACTCGCTAGGTGATCTGGTTACTTTTTTACTACTTTGCTGCCTATTCTCACCCATATTCCTTTCCTCATTGACTTAACCTTGACTGAATCTGAGAACTCTCCTCAGATGTGACTCAGTTGTACTACCTTTACTTCTGTACCCTGTTCAACACTTTCTTCAATCCTGGCTCCACTCTCTGCCATTGAAAAGATTACCTCGCAGACATTAATTTGCAGACTGTGATCTACCTGGTTCTAACCTGCAACCATTTCACACAGCCACTCACGTACCGGAGAGATTAGAAACAATTACTTGTTATCAGTTGTGAATGATGAGTTTTTCCCCCTCTCAATTGGACATTAAAACCATTTCATAAGCTTTAGGTTCTGAGGTTTTCAGAGCCTACAGCCCATCACTGATAGAGGAATAAAGGAAATGTTTCACAAGTTAATATATAGTTGAGAGGGCATTCGTGTTAGAGTTCTTTATTTAATGCAGAAATTGTTAGTGATTATGTATTCTTTTATATTTTGGCAAGTACACATGATTACTGTCTCTTTTGCCTTTTATAAATACAGAAAAAGAATAATGTCTTAAAATCAAGGAGAAGCCTAAGGCATCAAAGAGGTTTTCTTATTCAGTAGCATGAAGGAAATGATTGTCAGCAAGAGTGGCAAGATTATCCAAGGTGACAACTATCTCTACTACCCAGGGCTCACAGAGCTCCTGCAGCTTCCTTGTCCAGAACTGCTTCACTGTGATTCACTGTACAGGCTAGCCTCCCCTGCTCAAGCTCAGCAGCCAACCTTGTCTGAAGTCACATTTCAGCCTTTGGACCTGGTGCTAACACTCACTCCTGAACCTACTTGGAGGCTGACATAGAGCCCTGCAGCAGATGACAGCTCCTCCCAAACCCCCTGGGGTGACAGTTCATGTCCAGAGTCTGTTCAGGCTCTGCAGCCAACCTTGACTGAAGTTACATGTCAAACTTTGGACCTAAAGCTAACCCTTCCTCTTGAACCTACTTTGGAGGTTGATGCCATAGGCCTGGAGCAGACGACAGCTCCTCCAAAGCTCCTCAGGGTGACATTTGCGCTTCCAGAGCCTGTGTAGGCTCAGCAGCCAAACTCTCTGAAATCTGCAGTTCTAGGCACCTCAGCCTCTGGAGTTGGCCCTGGACTCTGTCCTGCTGACCTCAGCCCACGTCATTTATCTCGGAAGAGGTTGAATTCCGGCATTCC